ACTTAAAACTATGTGATAGATCCTAAAAGAATGAAAAATATATATATATATATATATATATATATATATATAAATGTTAATTAAACGCATTATAGTAGTTTTTATCAACCCTCACGCTTTATGTAAAGTATGAAATATTTAACAAACTGACATCTATGGAATGAAATATGTTAATTAATGATCCTATTGAGCGCTTTCTAAATAAGGTCCCATGTAAATATATAAATAATTATACTATATATATATATATATATATATATATATATATATATATATATATACACACACACACACACACACACACACATTTGCGACTAATTTAAAATTGATACTTGTTCTAACCTAACTTATAACACCATGTTTGTGTATTTTGAACACCACCCACCACACCTCGAAAAAGGGAAAATAACCCGCAACGTTAGCATAACTTCAGTATTATTTCGAGCCCGGTGGCCTTGTCTTTCGCTTGATATAAATGTTATAACGTGGAACACCCACTGGAGATCATCAGAATTCTTGCGGACCAATATCAACCTCTGCCACTAGTGAGCTAGCATTTATGCCATATCCGCAAAAAGGTGGATGATCATATTTTTTTATTATAGAATAGAAGAATGGGACTTAGCAGTTAAAACTTAGTGTTGTGTAAGTATAAAATACTAATAAATTCCATCCTATCCCCCTGAACCTACAACTAGTGTCAGCCTGGGCACTGCCAACTACTGCCCGCTCTTATCCCCTGTTTGTCTTTTTGTCACTGTTATATGTTATATGTAATGGGAGTAGGTAATAGTTTCCTACCGCCCGGTTTAAAATCCTCCCCTTCCCTGGACATGCGCAGAGGCTCACACCTTGTTCCATGTCTAAGAAGGGGTTCCTGGTATATTTTATTGTTTTTCTCTCTCTGGCCTCTGTACTTTACTGATGTTTTTCCAGTGACGATGCAGTCTGTGACATTTCCTGTTCATTTTGAGGGTACACGGTTGACAGTTCACTGGTTGCTGTTTTTGACTGGTATTTAAATGCCCTAACTCTTGCGGTAGCGTCTTGAAAAACATGCCGCTCTGATCAACAGTTGTAAACAAATAATGTTTGAAGTGCCATGAATGTTTGGAACGGTGTCCCTGCAGTCACCTCCGGTGGGAACCCTGAGGCCACATTATGATGCAGGCTGTGCCAATTCCTCTCTCATGTTGCGGTCGATAACCATCTGCTTCTCTTACTTCAGGCCTTCATCTTCCAACAATTACCAACATGAAGACTCAAATGAACCAAAAAAATAAACCTAAACCAGCCCTCAAAAATCACCTAAACCCCACAACATTTCATTCTTCAATATCCGTGGCATTAGAAAGAACTTCTGCAGTATGGAATCTTCCACTGCAAACTGCCCATTTATACTGGCTCTGTGTGAGACAAACCTTGTCTCGTCTATTCCCTCCTGTGATCTCTCGATCCGGCTACCTTCCTCCCTTTAAAGACTCTAACCCACATCACGGCCTTGGTGTCTATGTCAAGGACCATCTCCCCTGGCCAGAGTGCTGTTGTCTCTCGAATCGCCAGACCTTTCGTACATGTGTATCCAACTATCTCTCCTCAATGCCGTAAGCTATCTATATTATTCCTATATCGCTATCCATCCTCTCAAGACTGTTGGATACTAGATAGCATATCTGACAACATATAGACAAGGCCCTCTCTCTCTCCACCCGTTTGCTCATATATTAGTGTTTGGTGACTTTAATGCCCATCACACCAAAGTGGCTCGAGAATGCTACTACTGACCGGGCTGGCATTCAAATATTTAACTCCTCAATTTCTCAATCCCTCACGCAGATAGTTGACTTCCCCACGCGTTTTGCCCTCAACCTGGCAGGTAAGGCCTCTCTTATCGATCTGTGTTTTACCTCCATCCCCGAATCTTGTAGCGCCACACAGCTCTGCCCACTTGGCAACTCCGATCACGCCGTGGTATCTGTCAACATTTCCTTCAACTCCACACCCAGCAATAAACCTCCCATCACAAGAACCTCGTTCTACTATCAACGAGCGGATTGGGACTCGTTCCGTGACTTCCTCCGTGATGTCCCCTGGGATGTTGTCTTTACACTCCCTGTCCAAGAATCTGCTTCTGAGGTCTCATCCTGGGTTAAAGCTGAATCGACGCTTTCATCTCCTCTAGGAAATTTAAGGTCAAGTCGCACCCTCCCCTTGGTTCTCCGCTTCTTGCTCAGCCGCCATTGCCCATAGGAATCACTTTTTTCACACATTTCGTAGCGACATGTCGGACTGCAATAGACGTCTTTTGCCTCCGCCCGCAACGAGTGTAAGCATGTCCTCAACGAAGCTAAGTCAATATTTGCTGCTCGGATGAAGGAACGTATTGCATCTCGCAAATTTGGCTCCAAAGATTATTGGCGGGTCTGCAAGAGTGTCCTGAACAATAGAAAACCCTCCATACCTCCTTTTATTCAACCAGTTCGAGGTCTTGACCTCCTCTACCGACAAGGCTGAATGTTTTGCTCGGAAATTCTCATTTAATTCAACGCTCGACTCCACCAGTGTACCCATACCAGACTTCCTCCAAGAACTGAGGCCCTTATTGAGCGGCTTACACATAACCCCGTCATTGGTACTGGGCATTATCTCCAACTTAGACCCCCACAAGGTTAGTGGTGGAGATGGCATACCAGCCATTGTCTTGAAGAAATGCGCGCCTGAGCTAGCGCCCGCCCTCTCTAAACTGTATAATTACTGCCCCAAGGAATCCTGTTTTCCTGTCTGCTGGAAGTCCTCATCCATTGTTCCTGTGTTTAAGAACTCTGGAAACCCATCTGATCCCTCTAATTACCGTCCTATTTGTCTCCTACCCCTCTTCGGCAAAGTCTTCGAAGCCCTAATCAATGCCGAAGTGGTTAATCACCTTACATCCCATAATCTGCTCTCAGACAAGCAATATGGTTTCCGCTACGCCCGATCTACAGCTGATGTGCCTATGGCCATCACTGAAACCGTCTACCAAGCCCTTCAAAATAACGGTTAGGCTCGTGCCGTGGCCGTAGACATCTCCAAAGCATTCGATAGGGTTTGGCACGCCGGCCTTCTTCGTAAGCTCCAGGGTTATGGTATTACTGGTCGACTGTTTGATCTAATACAATCATTCCTGTCAAACCGAGAATTGAAGGTCGTTCTCAACGGATTCTCCTCCAGTTTCTATCCCACGAACGCAGGTGTTCCCCAAGGCTCCATCCTTGGCCCCATTCTTTTCCTTATTTTCATCAATGACCTTCCTGACGCCATAGATTCCCAAAATGGCATCTACGCAGACGACACTACAATTTACTCCTGCCTCAAAAAAAAATCTAGTGTCAGCGACAAAACTAACCTGGCCGTGCGTCTTGAAATGGACCTCCAATCGGTTGTTAACTGGGGCAAGTATTGGCTGGTCAACTTTAACGCCTCGAAAACTAAATTACTCTCCATTAACCACCATAGAGATCCTTCCCTGCTCCCCATTAAAATGTCTGATAGTCAACTTCCTGAGAGCAACTCCCTGCGTCTGCTCGGTCTCACGCTGACTGCTGACCTGAGATGGAGCAAATACATTGAGTCAATTGCTTCTTCCACCGCGAGGAAGTTGGCTCTCTGTGCCGTGTCAGGAAATTTTTCTCCCCTGAATCGATCCTTCAAATATACAAAACAACCATTCGCCCTTGCATGGAGTATTGCTGCCATATATGGGCTGGAGCACCTTCAGCTTACCTCGGAGTTCTTGACAAGAACCAGAGACGGATATGTAATCTAATTGGCCCTGATCTGGCATCTCGTCTACAGTCACTCTCTCACAGACGCGCCGTCGCCTCTCTCTGTCTTTTCTACAAATACTTTCATGGTAATTGCTCCTCGGAGCTGCTTTCACTGGTTCCCAGATTCCATGAATTCAAGCGCCCTACGAGGCTGGCATCCTGCTCCCATCCTTACACTGTAGAAACTTTTAAATGTAGCCGTCTCTTCTACTCCAATACCTTCATACCTCGCACCTCTCGCCAGTGGAACACCCTTCCCAATTACTGTTTCCCTGAAAGCTATAATCTCCAAATATTCAAATGTAATGTCAATCGATATCTCCAGTTACCTTGATCTATCCCCTATCCCTCTCCTCATCCTTTCTTCTATCACTCCTATCTGCTCTCGCTCCAAATCTTCCGCAACCCCCTGCATCCTAGTGGCTTCACGACTTGCTTGGGGCGAAATGCTTAAAAAAAATACTTTGTGATAGAAAGATGTTAATACTCTGTGATAGATAGACCTTAATATAACAATAGATCTTAATATATATATATATATATATATATATATATATATATATATATATATATATATATATATCTTAATACTTTGTGATAGAAAGATGTTAATACTCTGTGATACATAGATCTTAATACTATGTGATAGATCTTAATATACCGATATATATATATATCTTAATACTTTGTGATAGAAAGATGTTAATACTCTGTGATAGATAGATCTTAATACTCTGTGATAGATTTTAATATACTGATATATATATATATATATATATATATATATATATCTTAATACTTTGTGATAGAAAGATATTAATACTCTGTGATAGATCTTAATACTCAGTGATAGATATATGGATAGGTATTAATACACTGCGATAGATAGATATTAATATACTGGGATAGAAAGAGAGATATTAATACACTGCGTTACATAGATTGATAGATATTCAAAACCGCTGATAGATATTAAGTACACTGTGTTAGAAAATAGATATTAATACTTTGGGAAAGATACATATTAATTCACCTTTATAGATATATAGATAGGTAATAATACACTGCAGTAGATGGACATATAGACATTAATACAATGCGATTTTATTAATTGATTTTGTTTCATTTTCCCACACGCTCCCTAAAATTACAAATGTTGTGAAAGCAAGATCCTTAAAATTGTAATGAAAGATAATGTTTCCGATTCATCCTATCTATCTATCTATCTATCTATCTATCTATCTATCTATCTATCTCAAGGTCTTCACTATCTATCTATCTATCTATCTATCTATCTATCTAAGGTCTTCATTATCTATCTATCTATCTATTAGAGTATTCACACAATTATCGGCATGGTACAATTTAGTTTCATTTAGAATAATATAATTTACTGTCCTGATAATGATTACATATAACAGACAGAATACGTATCTTAGGTACTGAATACATATCCATAGTCAAATTCAGAAACTTTTCTTTACAACACATTAGCATTACATAACAAAACAATATTATCCTCACGTTTCAGTCAATTCTAAGTGGCATAATCGTTTTTGTCAAAAGTTTTCTCGAGTTATAATTAACTTATTGCTTCATTCTTCGAAAAATATCCACACGAACACTATTAAATTTGAGTGTTGACCTGAATGAACCCTAAATTTGTGTTATCGACAAAACTTAACTATTGCATTAAGGTTCGGACACATTGCAGGTCAGCTTAAGGAATTGATCTTGTTATCTCTGAGCTAATAGTTCACTGGTGCTTTTGTATATCCAGAATCCTTATCGTGTTGCAAAGTAAAATGTCATATTCCAATAAAAAATCTATCTATCTATCTATCTATCTATCTATCTATCACAGTGTATTAACATCTATCTATCTATCTATCTATCTATCTATCTATCTATCTATCTATCTATCACAGTGTATTAACGCCGTAATCTCATCAGTCACATGTAAATCCACAAACAAGTTATTACAAAACAGGCCAGTCTATTCATATATATGTATTTATTTAAGTATATTCATGTCTATATTTCTCATTCATCTTTTCATATATATATATATATATATATATAACATCCATTCATCTATCATTATTTATCTACCTACCTAGCACACAAACCACAAAATGTTATTATCTATCTATTCTATCATATGTATGTAAATTTAACGTCTTTTTAATTTCATTCTATCTATCTATTACAGTCTATTAACGTATCTTCCATCTATCTATCTATCTATCTATCTATCTATTTATTCGTTCTTTCATCTATCACACAGTCTATTAACATCTTTCCATTATCTATCTATCTATCTATCTATCTATCACAGTCTATTAACATCTATCTATCTATCTATCTATCTATCTATCTATTCTTTTGGATTCAATCCAAACATTTAAGGCCAAAGGAAGGTATTGATCCTGTCTTTGGGCCAGTGTTTTTCCGATGCTTTTGTACGTCAAGTATCAAGACATAAGAAGCATTGAATTCGTGTAGAATGTAACGACTGGGAAATCATCATTCTGGAAATCTGTCCACAACACAGTCTTACGAGTGGAACGCACTTCTTACTAATTGAATACGCAGGGAATATGAATGAATTCATCCTTTTGTATGTGGCATGGTGGGTTCAATTGTAAAGGTTATGCCTTGTGGGACCAAAGTATGTTTAGACTTTAAAAGGTGTCTTTCACGTTTTCTTTTATGATATCAAGATATCCTCCGTTCCTTTTCTAGTTTCCTGCTATTTAAACGGTCTGTTGTATTTTCACTTAAACCCAAGAAAACCTTAACACTGTCACCGACATATTTTACACCTTTTAATTGATGCTCTTCCCAAGTCCATCCTGAGACGGTGTGGTAGCACTTGTTAGGGTCCTAGCTATGGACTAATAGTAAACATCCAAACTAGTGTCAAAATACTGAAAGTATAGCTGAAAAAAATAAATTACCAGTAACAGCTTTTTGCAAAAGAAAATAAAAAACACAATTATCGGCAAAAGATTTTTGTAAAAAGAAAACAATACTGAAGCTCAGGGGAAGATTAATTTTTCGTATTAAATCATCCATAAGTAGTTGGCATGCCGTTAAACAAAGAAACACGGTAGGGATTAGGAGAGATAACATAAAGAGTAAATTTGCTAAGAGCTCCAAAGGACAGATAATTATGGAGAACCATGATGGATAACTCGGTTCAGAAAATAACTTATTCCCAATAGGTATGTGTAAATTTCAATCGACACTTGCGAGTTCGTAGTATATGACACCAATAGTGCAAATTAAGGTAGTTACTACTATAATGAGTGTGGGTTTATCGTTGTATTAGTAAAAGAAAAAGCGTAACAAGTTAGTATAACTTTAACTATCTAGCTCCAAATTTTAGAATCTTCCGGGTTATTGTTGAAAATGAATGGAGAGGAAAAACATGGGACAGAAAACATAACAGGATATTGAGTTGAGACATTATTCCTTTTTATGTAATTATGTGTTGGCAATACATTTAAACGTGTTTTGGTTTGGTTTGGTTTGTTTTACGGCATATCAACACCTCAATGGGCTATTTAATGCAGATAAGATTTTTATTGCTGGTAATATTCTTTTCCAAAAATGTATTGTTTGTAATATCTTTTTTTTTTTCAAAAATGTATTATATTTTTATTTTTCAGAAATGTACTGCTGGTAACAATTTATCCAAAATAGTACTACTGATATTAAAACCTATTTTTATACTTTCACAGTGTTTTGACATCTTTGGCGGGGCAACCACCCGCCTACAGATGGGATCCCGACAGGCGCCATCACCCCGGGTCAGGGTGGACCTAGTAACATCAGTAATCAAGAGGCGGCTCCACGCTCCTCAAAACCTTACGACCAAAGGTCCCGCTGTCGGATATAGTTTATAATCTTACCCAGGACGCGGAGGCAGTTTATCGTCTTACCCAGGATGCCGATGTATTTTATTGTCATACCCAGAACGAAGACGTGCTTTGTTTGGTGTGTGTTAAATTGTGATATGTGACACAGTGCATGGGTGTTTTAGTATTATCATTATTTAGTTGCATTATGTTTTATAGCGCTGTTGAAGACTATAAAAAGATAAACACTACCTTCTCGCTATCTTTCCCCCCTTGTTCTAAGATGTTACACATAATAAAAAGGATGTCCCTGTCATTGCACGTTCATTTACCCGGCCCACTGACAACTGATCTCTTTCCATTTTTCAACGTCTCGCGTTCGCACGTGTCTTCCAAAACCTCCAGCTATGAAGTAAATCAACTTTTCTTTGGTTGTTCCAACACAGCGCAAGGCTGAATTGAGCCTGACCATAACAACCATACTTAAACCTTCAACGATGATGCAAGTATAAACTTTTCTTTGGTTGTACCAACTCTGAGCAAGTCTGAATTGAGGTCGACCATTATAACTTTTGTAGCATACCCACGAACGATAATGGATATGCCCCCGTTCCCATAAATACAGTAGTAAATACTGTATGTTGGTCTGCAGTTGGGGGCTCATTGTGATATTCACTTGACTCGCTTCTAGCAGTTGACTACTACTTCTACGAACCGCTGGCGAATCTTATATGTGTTGTTCTTGTCCTAAGTATTATCGTTCATTGCCAACCTTCGTTTGATTATCCTATTCAGTAACCTTCCCCTAGGTTACAACAATAACGTTGCTTATCTATACTTATCTTAACCTCAGGACCAGAAAAAGAAAAACGGACATACCCAAGACACCTTGAGAACTTTCACTACAATTTTTATAAAAAAAGAGAATGATCTAAAGTAGAAATCCAAGTTTTTGTATACTTCCTTGATTGTTTACATATGAACACGCTCCCCACATATAATCCGCATACACGTGCACCCTTTTAGACTCTATAAGCAATAAGACTTCCAGAACCTCCACATCACAAGAAGAGTTGCAACAAATTTTGTATTGAAATATTCTTCTATGATTAGTGTACAGTCGACTTGTGTATTGCAAATTGCTTAGCTGTTGAGTCAAAGCTCATTCTTGAATTACACGCCTTCACAACTGTTTTTGTTTATTTTAAGCAAATCACCCCAAGCAAGGCGGGAGTGCCACTAGCATGCAAGGGGTTACTGAGAGTGAGAGTAAGTGTAAAGAGGAGTGTTTGGGAAAAAGGATAAAAAGAAGGACAGGGATCAAGGTTAAGGCATCAGAAGATGTCGATTGACATTACATTTGTGTTATGGGACCTTACCCATAATAACATAATGGACTATTCCATACGTAATAAATACTGCGCCTCAAGAGGAAACAGGAGTTAAGTTCAATCTGAAGTCTGTCGTGAGGTCCATCAGAAGTCTGTCAGTCAGTCAGAGCGAGCGAGTCAGTCAGTCGAGTCAGAGGCAGTCCGAAACAAAGTCGCGTTCAGACAATTACTACTAAACCTGATTGTTCGTACTAACACTTTCTACTTCTCTGTATATATTCCTGTTTGTAATATATCTGTGTTATTCCATATCCGTATTTGAGTTCTTCTTTATTGGTTCTACCTTGGACTATCACCTTGGTATAAGGAACCGGACCATAACAATTTGAATATTTGAAGATTACAGCTATCAGGGAAGCAAGTGATAGGAAGGGAGTTTCACTGATGAGAGGTGCGAGATAAGAAGCTGTTGGAGTAGAAGAGATGGCTACATTTAGTCGTTTTGACAGTGAAAGGGTGGGACCGAGATGCCAACCTAGTAACACACTTAAATTTGTGTAGTTTTGGAACCAGTGAAGGTAACTCGTTGGAGCAGTTGCCATGAAAGTACTTCTAGAAAAGACAGAGGGAAGCCATAGCACGTCTGTGAGAAAGTGACTGTAGACGGGATGTCAGATCAGGACCAACCATGTTGCCTATCCGTCTCTGGATTTTGTCTAGGACATCGAGATGAACAGAGGGGGCACCAGACCATATATGGCAGCAGTATTCCATGCAGGGACGAATGGTTAATTTATAGATTTGAAGGATGAACTCAGACGAGAAAAACTTTCTGGCGCGACACAGAGAACCAACTTTCCTTGCTGGAGATGAAGCTATAGATTCAATGTAATTGTTCCACCTCAGGTCAGTAGACAGCGTGAGACCAAGCAGAGAGGCGATCTCGTAGAGTTGTGTATCAGCCATTCTGATGAGAGGCAGAGTGGGTTCTCTATGCTGGGTAACTGAGAGCAGTTTCATTTTAGACACATTAAAGTTTGCAAGCCATTTCACTGATAGGAGGTCCTTTATCAATGATTTGTTACTTTAAATCCACAGACATTTTAACCTTTTTGTTGATATTCGGCTTAAAGTGAACAACGCGCCTGTTCATTACAGTAAATTTAAGCCACTTTAAGAATTTATATATCACAGCGTATTAACAGACGCATGCGCATTAATCACAAGTTTCCGTTGATGTAAATTCTTTTTTCATTCGTTTGTTTTCTATATTTAACAGTTTCTTTTTTATTCAAACATTTCCCCGGAACATATTTTGAAGGTTCACGTCTGAATTCTCTTCTTGGGAGATAAATGATCCATAATTCCTGTTCTTTCTAGCGAAACAGGAACTAGTCTGTTGTGAAATTTCTGTTTTTTCCTTAGTTGAGTCCTATATTCGCCATCTTTGAATTGCAAATTATAGCCTGTCGTGTCTTTTTACTGTTCTCTTCGAAAACAATGGTTTTTGTAATAGGAAAAAAATTACTCGTTTTAGTCTGTGATCGAAGTGAAGAAAGATTGCTTCTCGATTTGGAATTCTGTTAAGTGCCTATTTGGAGATTAATCCCTATCTATCTCAGAGTGTTCATATCTATCTATCTATCTATCTATCTATCTATCTATCTATCTATCTATGTTCATATCTCTCTATGTACAGTCTGTTCATATCTATCTATATATCTATCTATCTATCTATCTATCTATCTATCTATCTATCTATCGATTCATATCTCAATCTGTCTATCTATCTGTCTGTTCATATCTATCTAGCTCAATCTTTTACCATCCATCTATCCATCTATCCATCCATCCATCTATCCACATCCCTCAATCCATCTGTCTGTTCATATATCTCCCATCTGCAACCATCCATCCATCCATCCATCTATCCATCCATCTATCTATCTACTATGTTTATATCTCCCTATGCACAGTCCGTTCACATCCATCCATCCATCCATCCATCCATCTATCCATCTATCCATCCATCCAGTCTGTTCATTATCCGCCCATCTCTCTCTGTCCCCATCTATCTATCTATCTATCTATCTCAGCCTGTTCATATCATCTATCTATTCATCTATCTATCTCATCCTATTCAGCCTGTCCTATCTATCTATCTATCTATCTATCTATCTATCTATCTATCTATCTATCTATCTCAGTCTGTTCATTATCTGCCTATCTCTCTCTGTCTCTATCTATCTATCTATCTCAGCCTGTTCATATCTATCTATCTATCTATCTATCTATCTATCTATCTATCTATCTATCTATCTATCTCAGTCTGTTCATTATCTGCCTATCTCTCTCTGTCTCTATCTATCTATCTATCTATCTCAGCCTGTTCATATCTATCTATCTATCTATCTATCTATCTATCTATCTATCTATCTATCCTGCTATTTCTGTTAAGTGTCTATTTGGAGATGTTTGTTGTATCATGCCAGTCTAGGATAAGATACACTTGGGTTTTAAAAAAAGAATGATATATCAATATTATTCAATTACAAAAGCATTTATTATCCAAGCCCGACTTAATAAGAACGGAGAGGTCACGATTTTCGTTATTCAGATAGTGTGCTGTGTTGGTGAGTTACCTTAACACAGATATGAAGAAAAAACACATGCATTATTTTCACTTCGTGCAGTTCACTAACGGCCATAGGCTGGCGATACAAGTAGTTGCAATAAAAGGCAACTAATTGGAATGAAACATAAGAAAAGAAAAAAATTGCTGATTTTTATGTAACAGAAATTTCGGGATATTATTGCTATTACTATCCCAACATTTGGAATGAAGATGAAAGAAATCCTAGACAAAAATGAATGATAGTTGACAATTAAAATTCAAGATAATATTACTACTGCTAATATCTATAGTGGGTTATCAGTTATAGTGAAGTATATGAGTGTGGAAACAGGTTAGTTTGATTTGGCCTTGTTAGTTAGATAGCCCACCATAAGAGGGGTATAAAACAAGAAAATCAAATTGTAAGGTGAAACAAATATTTATATACATATAAGTCAATTCAACTCTTTACAAATAAAATTAATGTATTTTGGTTGATACAAGGTCGTCAAAATGTTCGTAGTAATCCTTGCAAGAATGAGTTTATGTGTACGTAGGCAGGAACGTATGTGTGGATGTATGTATGTATGTATGAGCGTTATCTTCGGGTAGGAATGTCTTTGAAGAAATCGCTCAGTCTTAAAATGTTCCGTTTGTTTATCAAGTGTAAAAGAGGTGAGGGAGAAAGCTAGAGATAATAATAACGATCGCTTGACGTTTGTCAAGGGACGTGTTAATACGCTCGTCTCCTTCTCTCTGGTGACAGGCGAACTTGCCCGTCTTTTATTTTGTTTGTTGGGCTTGAAAAAGTCATTTGGGAATTTACTTCCGGATATGATTCGGGCCTTTTTATTGGACGATGAACACATTTCTGCGTCGGCTCGCGAAAAGGTCCGTGAAAGAATTTGTTTCTGAGGATTGAAGATTATTTGAATTTTGTTTTTAAATGTTTCCTCGTTTTCTATTGGCTGAAAAACATTTCGCATCAAGGTGTGCGATTTCACAAGTTTTGTTTTGGATTCGCTTTTGCGTGTGTGTTAAGCAAAGTTTGTAAATTCGAGTCTTTTTAATTTCTAACAAAGTCAAAGAGTCAGTGCTTAGCATTTGAATTTTATATCTAGATCTAGTTTTGTTCACTACATACCAATAGTGGAAATAAAGTAGGTAATATAAAAGAAATACTAGACAAAAATGAATAATGGTTTACAATGCTTCATCTAATAAAACTTTAAGATAATATTATCCATACTCATTAATAGTGGAAATGAAGCAATCGAAATTAAGATGAAAGAAATACTAGTTAAAAACAAATAATAGTTGACAATGCTTCATTTAATAAAATTTCAAGATGGTATTACTACTAATAATACAACTAGTGGAAATAAACTAACTGGAATAATGATAAAAGAAATCCTAGTCAAAAATTGATAATACTTGACAATGCTTTATCTAATGAAAATTCAAGATGATATTACTGCTACCCACAGAGCAAACCTGACTGCTTCCTACGTGACTTTTATTTAAGTTTGAACACCATCTATTTATTGCCAATGGAAGTACAGTCGACCCTCGATTAAAAACACTATTAAGAAACATGGGTGTCTGTTCATGTCAAATTCTTTATCTCTCGGTTGCAAACGGCTGAGTCACTTTATTCGACGGCGAGAAATGAAATTACGGTGGTGCCGTGCCACGAAAAGTAAGCCTTATCTGTCTATGGCTGCCTATTAACGAACGCGGCTGTCAACTTTCTGTGAACGCCTGTAAGAGAGCATGACCGGCCACCTAATATCCTGGTAAGGTAGCGTAACCGGCCTCCTATAGGTAAAATAGCATAACCAGACTCCTAATCTACCGGTAAAATAGTGTAACAAGCCTATTAATCTACCGATAAGTATAGCGTAACGGGCTTCCTGTTCTCCCGGTAAGATAGCGTAACAGGCCTTCTAATTTACCAGTAAAATAGTATAACCGGCCACCTAATCTACCGGTAAAATAGTGTAACCAGCCTCCTAATCTACCGATAAGAATAGCGTAACGGACTTCCTAATCTCCCAGTAAGAGAGCCTAACCGGCCTCCTAATCTCTTGGTAAGATAGGGTAAACGGTACCTAAGCAACCGGTAAGATAGCGCAAACGAACTCGTAATTTAACGGTAAGATAGTGTAATCGTCCTTCTAATCTCCAAGAAAAATAGTGTAACCGGCTTCCTAATCAACCGGTAAGATAGCGTAACCGGCCTTCTAATCTACCGGTAAGATAGTGTAACCGGCCTTCTAATCTACCGGTAAGATAGCGTAACCGGCCTCCTAATCTCCTGGTAAGATAATCGAACTCGTAATTTACAGGTAAGATAGTGTAACCGGCCTTCGAATCTCCAAGAAAAATGGTGTAACCGGTTTCCTAATTTACCGGTAAGATAGCGTAACCGGCCACATAATCTACCGATGAGATAGCTTAACCTGCCTCTTAATCTCCTGGTAAGATAGGGTAAACGGCACATAATCTCCAGGTAAGATAGCTTAACTGAACCGTAATTTACATGTACGATAATGTAACCGGCCTTCTAATCTCCAAGAAAAATACTGTAATCGGTTTCCTAATATACCGATAAGATAACGTAACCGGCCACCTAATCGACCGGTAAGATAGCGTAACCGGCCTTCTAATCTACCAGTAAGATAGCGTAACTGGTCTTCTAATCTCCTGGTAAGATATTGTAAACGGCACCTATTCTCCTTGTAAGATAGCTTAACTGACCCGTAATTTACTGGTAAGATAGTGTAACCGGCCTTCTTATTTTCAAGAAAAATAGTGTAACCGGCTTCCTAATCTGCCAGTAACATTGTGCAACCGGCTTCCTAATCTACCGGTAAGATAGCGTAACCGGCCTCCCAATCTATCGATAAGATAGTGTAACTGGCCTTCTAATCTACCGGTATGATAGCGTAACCGGCCTCCTAATCTCCTGGTAAGGTAGGGTAAACTGCACCTAATCTCCAGGTAAGATAACCGAACTCGTAATTTACAGACAAGATAGTGTAACCGGCCTTCTAATCTTCAAGAAAAATAGTGTAACTGGCTTCCTAATCTACTGGTAACATAGCATAACCAGCCTTCTAATCTACCGATAAGATAGCGTAACTGGCCTCCTACTCTCCTGGTAGGATAGGGTAAACGGCACCTAATCTCCAGGTAAGATAGCTTAACTGAACCGTAATTTACTGGTAAGATAGTGTAACCAGCTTCCTAATCTTCAAGAAAAATAAAGTAACCGGCTTCCTAATCTACCTGTAAGATAGCGTAACCGGCCTCCTAATCTACCGGTAAACAGCGTAACCGGTCTCCTAATCTCCTGGTAAAATAGGGTAAACGGCACCTAATCTCCAGGTAAGATAGCTTAACCGAACTGTAATTTACTGGTAAGATAGTGTAACCGGCCTTCTAATCTTCAAGAAAAATAGTGTAACCGGCTTCCTAATCTACTGGTAACATAGCGTAACTGCCCTTCTAATCTACCGATAAGATAGCGTAACCAGCCTCCTAATCTCCTGGTAAAATAGGGTAAACGGCACATAATCTCCAGATAATATAGCTTAACCAGACCGTAATTTACTGGTAAGATAATGTAACCGGCCTTCTAATTTTCAAGAAAAATAGTGTAACCCGCTTCTTAATCTACCGGTAAGATAGTGTAAACGGCCTTCTAATCTACCGGTAAGAGAGCGTAACCGGTCTCCTAATTAACCGGTAAGATAGTGTAACCGGTCTTTTACTCTACCGGTAAGATAGCGTGACTGTCTCCTAATCTACCGGTAAGGTAGCGTAACCGGCCTTTTAATCCCCGTGTCTGACTATCCTATGCGCTCGAAACAGGGATCTCGCTGGATCACTTAAGTACCCTTCGTCTTTGGCTTAGAGATCGTAGTGCTGCTTTCCGTTTGCGGACACTCGTTGTATCGGCCCAGTTACATTCACATTGCAGTTGTCTACGGTGGATGGCGGGATTTGTCAGCAACAAATGTGCTTTCGAGAAGGTCTGCTTTCCGTTCGTCTGCTCGCCGCTAGAATATTTTTTTCGATGCATCGGTTATAAAAAAAGTTTTAGAGATATTTTAGTTTTAAAAATAGTTTTAGAGACATTGAACGTTCAGACCACTAAATCAATGTGACCAGATAAATAATACAAAGCAGAAAATGAATAGCTTAAATGTTAATATTTTAGGCGTATGCGAAACGTTTATACTTTATTACAATTCGAATCATCACTTTTTAAAAATAGCGGATCAGATTGAGGAATCTGAGAGCCGAGTTCGAATTCCACTCAAATCCATTACATTCACTTACGTGCTAATACCCTTGCGAAAGGTATGAGTCCTTTTCTTCTGTCCCCAGCTAAGGATAAATAGCAAGACAGACTGCTGTCTTTAGCCTTGTATAGCAACTGGTCTACCACAGAAAGAAATGGCAAACTACTGCGGGGAAATGTATCGAAAGATACATGATCGCCTAAGCGTGTATCACGCATGGCACATAACTGACTGAAATTCACTTACGTGCTAATACCTTTGGGAAAGTTTTTAATCCTCTTCTTCTCCCTCCATCCCAGCTATGGGTAAATAAATAGCAGGACAGAGTGGGTTCTATAGCCTTGGATGGCAAATGGTATACCGCAGAAAGAAATAATCTACTGCGGAAAAAAAACCCTGCCTCGTCAGTCAAGTATCGAAAGATACATGATCGCCTAAGCGTGTATCACGCATGGCACATAACTGACTGACTTTTTAAACATTGCTGAGGAGTGAAGGTAGTTAAAATAATAGCGATGTCAAGGGAAA